AAAACCCACCCCCCTCCTTGCATGTTAGTGCCTCCATGTGAACCCACCCCTGTACTTGTAGCAAAATCCTTAATATTATGTATTGATCTAAACTAATTATGTTGAATTTTCGCTATCTAGTAACCAATGTGGACTGCTAGCTCGATTTGTGACGATCCCATTAAATGAAAATTATTGAGCTCGGTCTCACTTCAAATGATAAATATTTTTCTTTTCCTTTTTTCCCTCTCTGCTGCTCTTTTTGAAAACCTTAATGCTGTGTTTGGCACACCTAATTAATAGAATGTCTTATGAATTATAAGTTTATACTTGATAGAACTAGGTATATGGTGTGAAGGTTGAATAAGGTGGATAGTGTTCTTTAATTTTCTTTCAAAAATAGTCATTTGCAATAACTATATAACATTAAGTGGAGGTTGAAGGTGGGTTTAGACAGAATAAGAAAAAGATCATTTTCCTAGCAATAACCACTATAATTTATATTAAATTTCTTACGGTTTAATTCGGCGCTCCAAACGCATCCTAAAATCTCGACCTTGTTGGACTATTTAATTCCTTGCTCCTAAATTTCAAATTTCATTATGCTATCTTAGTCTTGCATGATATCTATGATGGTATTACATTGTATTCATTGGTTTATGAATTTAAAATTTCATTCAGATCAAAGCAGAAAGTTTAAGGGCTGTTCTCTTTGTATTTCAGTTTTGTGTTTTGAGTGTTCATTTTGAGATTATTGAAAATGTGTTCTTTTTGACATTTTGAAAACACCAAAAACGCGTTTTGAAAATTTTGGCTTGATTATAACTTAAAATGCCCAAAATGATTTGTCGTTTTGTGTTTTCTTTGTAAATTTTTAACTTATTTTCAAAAAGGCGTTTTCGAAAATAGGAAATAGAACGCGTTTTCACTGTTTTGAAAAATCGAAAATAGAAAACGGCTTGAAAATGGTAAAGAGAACAGACCCTTAATTTTTTAAGGAGATCCAAAGGCTAGGATTTGTCAAGCTGCAGAAGAATTACATGTTAATCTTGTAGTCGTTGGTAGCCGTGGGTAGTGATGGCAAAAAAACAAGCCTCGCCCCGCTACCCGCCCCGCCCCGCTACCAGCCCCGATGGGTTGGTGGGGCGGGGCACCGGGGCGAGAAGGGGGTGCCCCGTCCTGAAGCGCCCTGTGAAAAATAAAAAAAATAATTAA